CCCCCGGTTCTTGCTTTGCATCCCCGCACCATCTTCCCTTCTTGCTGCGTGCACTTCCCCCATGCAGGACTCTTCGTCTTCCCCTCCCCCCCCAGCTCGATCCTTACTCCGCGAAGTGATTGGCTGCGTAGTTGGGATGCTCGGATCAATGTGGAGAGCGGGAAACCGCGCACCACTTGAACGGACACCCCAATCATGTAGGACCATGCCATCCCGCGGGTCGAACCCTCTAACTCCCCACCTTCCTCCTGTCCTGCTCATCTACAACCTGCGTTGCCCGCACCTCGCGCTGACAACCTGTCGTCTCCCGCGCTATAAATTCGCGCAACCCTCTCCTCTCTCTCTCTTTGATCTCGGCTGTAATGTTGTGCGAGCTATGCGCGAAAGTCCGCGGCACCGAACAGGCTCGACGAGCCCAAGGATGGGCGGAGTGACGACGTTGGGTGGACCCCCGGTAGTCTCGGGGTGAAGCAGTCGGAGGGACTGAGTAGCGGTGGGGATTGGGCGCCGGCCGCGGCAGGGCCTTGTGGCTATGGTGGTCGGTGGTCTTGGGAGGTTTTGAAGGCTGCGCCTGGGGGCAGCAGTTAATTGAGAATTTTTGTGTACAAGAAGGACTCGCTTTTATCTCCATTGCTGCTTTGTCTATGCATGACGTGTGTGTGAAGCCCTGAGTGATGGGAGCTGGTTGTGCGCATGAGTGATGTCGAAGGTCTATGGATGATTGGATGTCCTTTAAGGGCTGTTGATTGCATGCATGTATGTGTGTATGTACTTATCCGGGCGGGGACGGGGGAACTGAACTGGAGGACCGTCTGCTTAGGAGTATGAGTGTGTTGATCCTGTTGTTCCCCTCCCCTCCGCGGCCTTTCCTGCGCGCACGCGCAGTCTCGGTGTAACTCACTCTCTGTCTTTCTATCGCCTTTCTTTTTGAACTGATAGTCATCGCTTTTGGAACTTCTCGTCCCTGCACCCGTGACGTCAACCGCCTGCGTCCGCGCGCGCGGTCGACGCCCCCGCAAGGGGAAGGGAGCTTAGATTTCGGCATCTTCTTCCGACGAACCCACCTTGAGAGAGAAGAGTTGCGTCGAGTGTTGTATGGAGTCGGTGTTGGTTCGGATGACCGGGAGCGCGGGATTTCGCCCGTGTTCATCGCTCACCTCATTGTCTCATCTCGCTACTGACCTTCCCCATTGTAGATGACGACAGCGTCTACTGCGATACGGATGTACGACGTGCGCTGAGACGGACGAAGCAAGTGTGTTGGCGAGACCCGCCCCGGGCGTGTAATATAGGGGGGAACGGGTTTGTCTTGATTGATCGCTTTGATTCCCCGACTCTAATATTGCCTTATACGGTTTTGACGGTGTTGCCCTGGTCGGCCGCTCACGCCGCGTGGCGGCCGCAGTTTGATTGTCGCTGGTGTCGCCAGGAGGACTCGTGTTCTTGGCAACGCTTGGTCCTGGGTTACGAGGGAGCGACACGTTTCCCCGAGCTCTCCTGTAATGCGGGGGCGCTGCCCGCGCAATTTCGAATACGGATGCCGGCGAGTCCTCCCGCCGTTTCACCCTCTTGGAAACTTCCGCGCGGACTTTGCGAGTCCGACGCCGAGGCTTGAAGGCCTCGAACCAACCACTTCTACAACAAAAACCCGACGGTCCGGTCACTTCACGAGGCCGATGACGAGGCCTGAAGGCTTTGAACCCACTACCTATCCCTCAAGCCCATGACGGTCGGAGTTTCTGTCTTCCGCCGCCATGGCCCTCTCCCCTTGATGCCTTTTTCCGTCCTGATGCACGACGACAACTCGTTTTTGTGAAAACCCTTTTGATTTTATCGTTTCGGAGTGATCCGACCCCCACGGGACTTCGCGACGACAGTTTGACTCCGGGGTAACCTCTGGCACGAAACGAGAGCCTCCCGTTCTGTCCGGGAGACTCAACCCCTACGGCCAAAAATCCTCGGCCACGCCCCTCCTAGAACGCTGATCGGCGACCCAGTACGGGAAGCTGCGAGGTGGCGTGAGGTTGCGTATCACAGTCCCTTCATGTGGTTTGCAAATTCAAGAGTTGGCCTCCGGTCTCGGTCGACAAATCGCCGCTGCCCTGTCGTGTAGTGTCTGTCCAACAGTGGAGAATGTTGTAGTGTCTGTCCAACAGTGGAGAATGCTCATGAGAGTAGAGAGTCCGGAGTAAGGGCCTTGCCACACCACTCTTGAAAACTCTTTTTCAAGAGTTGCTGCATCGCCACACAACCTCTTGACACTTGGGGCAGTCAAGAGCTGTCAGAGTGGCTCTTGAAACCCTTTCAAGAGCAGCTCTCGAAAGATTGGAAACCTCAGCCTGCAACTCGTGCGATTTCAAGCGTCCTTGGCCGAACCCTTGAGGGAGTATCGATTTTCAAGAGTTGTCAGGCCGTTATCCTGACGCCATGCGAAAAAAGCAAAGCTGTATGACTGTCGTTTTTCATCCTGTGTCCAACGGCATGGCCCTTTCGAGAGTGCTGTGTGGCAAGGGGCCGTAAACTCTTGAAAACCCTACTCTTGTGTTTTTCAT